GTGAAGGCAAAGTCAGCATCCAGGCGATCCAACACCTGAGTTCGCAGTCGGCGCACAGTTTTATTTCGAATGCTTGTGATGGTGTCCATCTATATGTAAAGGATATTTTAACCTCCGTTTGCGGTTCGACAACTAGCAGCAGTAAGGACTTGTCGCGCGGTTTATTCCTGCTGCCGCCGCCTTCCTTAAACCGCCTGTAAAATTTTTTATATTAATTATTAATTATTAATTATTATTAATTTAATATTTAATAAGCAATAGTCTGCTCGTCATTTTATGGTAACGATTTAATAAACAATGGAGGTGCCCATCACTGGCCCACCATTCCCGAAACAAAGACTTGTTCATACCGGTCAACAATAGTCTTATGACGTCAATTGGTCGTCATGGTAACCCGAAACAATACCTGCCCGTCGTTTTATGCTAATGATCGATGAATAATTAATGTTCCCCGTCCTTCCCCGTCCTTCCCCGTCCCCTTCCCCGTCCAAAAAAGGGGTTGTGCCATGCCGCCTATACTACTGCCCTATAAAATGACGTCACACTCTTTATAGCGACCTCATTATAAAATACGTTCTTTGTCCTTTTATTCTATAGCATCAAAAGCAATAATTGTACAGAGCGAATATTGGAAGCTAATTAAATTATTTACAGAAACTAGCATTTAGATAAATTGTCCTGTTTGCACAGTGTCTTCCAGCTTGGAGCGCTTGATCTTATACACACTGCCGTCTTCTACTAGTAGTGACTTGCTTTTTTTTCTCTAGTCTCGACGGATTTTACATCCAATACTTTTAGAACACGTCGCTTGTTGTTTGCCGGTAAAAGCGGCACTTTGTCATAGTCTAAAATCTCGGCCCAATCTCCGTCCTGTACCATTTTTTCAAATTTTTTTTTTCACTGTTTTTTCCTGCTATTCTAAATTATCTCCAGCCTGGTAGAGTGTTCCGTCTTCCAACTTGATTACAAGTTGTGTTTTTAGGGAACCATATCTTCTGTCGCTATTGTAGTTAGTGTTCCCACGTTGGTAGATCTACATGAGAGAATGTTCTCCATTTGCGTCGTCTGTTCCTCTATTTCCGTTGCTAATTTTTACTGCAAGGTCTTTATGCTGTGTTTTCCCATTTCCTGTGTTAGTCTTAAGTTACAGAAGACAACGACATGCCTTTGTGGGGTTCTTCCCCACCCAGTAATGTTTAACACTGCCAGCGGTTTGCTGTACAATGCTAAATAGTTTCGCCTGGGGTCTCGAATCTGCTCCTTTTTTGCGTCAGAGAGGTTCTCCTGTAGGTAGGTTTCGATATGTTTGTTGGAATAACACAGACCAAGTATTTCCTATTCTTTGGTTTTTTTCCCGATTAATATGATGAATAGGTTTTGAATAGGTAATGACGTATCCTTCTTCAGTTGCTCTTAGTATGCTAGAAATGAACTCGAGTAGATGCGAGCCGTAATGTGACGATGGTTCTAAAGAGACCCTTTTTATAGGTAAAAAGATCACGTGTGCTCATTGTCTAAATTGATTGTCCAATATGACAAATGGGGGCATGGGTACGGAGTGCCAACGTTTTCTTAAGCACTTGGCAGAGAAACTATCCCAAAAGAACGGCGAACCCTACCACTTTGTCATCACATGGCTTAGAACACTTCTGTCTTTCGAAATTGTACGAGCAGTTCACACAAGCGTTAGGGGATTTAGAGTACCTTTCCACAAGATTGACCTAGACGGAATAGACGACTGTCCATTAATGTTAACGTAGAGGCCATACACTAATTTTTTAGCTTTCTAGTTTTTTCCTCGGGGCTTTATATATAGAGACATTTGTTTTACTTTTAAATAGTTATTTTAATTTTCATGTTTATAAATACATAATTCCTTATCTGAATCAACCTCAACATGTAAATATATTTTTAGACTTGTAAATAGGTATTACTATTATTATTGTCAATAAAGTTTATTATTTTATGATGATGATGATGATGATGATGATGATGATCAGGATTAACTATTATTCCCTAATTATATTTTCCTCTAGACATAGATGACTGTGATGCAAAGCCTTGCCAGAACCAAGCAACGTGTGTTGATCTTATCAACGATTACGAGTGTTCATGTCCTGATGGTTTTATGGGGAAAAATTGTTCTGTCAAGTTAGGTAAGTGTAAAAGCGAAAGTTTATAAATTTGCTTTTGAATTGTCTCCTTTTTTAAGAACCTAGATTCCTGATGGCGTCCTTTTTTAACATTGTTAACATATGTTTTTTCCCTACTTTCTATAACTGTACGGTGAGCAGACAGAGTCTCCAGTAGTGTCGTGTGTATTGGGCCAAAAGATAATCAATATGGAGTCTTCACTTTACCAGCTGCTTGCAGCATTGTGCGCTTCTTGCTTGTTCGCCAGTCGGGAGACGGACTTTCCTACTATCAAGAACAWAAGGGATACTGGGGAGGCCCTAACAGGTCCCCATATGACATCCAAATACACATCACTAATCAGAACAATGACAGAATTAGTCCACCATCGAGTTTCCCACTGACTGATAACTCATATGGTCAGATGTCGTACAGGTTGCCAGGTGTGACCAACATGGATCCAGAACTCTTGTTGCCTGAGCTGTCCCCTCCTCTAGCAGCCACAGCAGGTCAGGAGTTCAGGATTTGGTTTGGTCAGGATCTATCGGATGAAAAAGAGCCTGACAATGTCGGGGAAATCTGTGTTCATGTTTGGATTCAGAAATCTCAGTAATCATTCGTGGGTAATAAAAATAGTCCCCTTCACAGTTCCCTGCGCCATCTTGAAAGGTAGCCATGCCTTTACATCGAAGCAAGACGAACGGTGAGCTTGCAATGATAGAGACCTTTTTTTAACACCTTGGACAACTACGTCTCTATGATTGCAAGCTCACCGTTCGTCTCGCTTCGATGCAAAGCTATGGTTACCTTTCAAGATGGCGCAGGRAACTGTGAAGGGACTATTGGAAATCCTTAGAAGTCATTAGCTAGGAAATCTTTGATTTCTTAATAGAACAAAATGACTTTAAACAATATGACTTCAAAATGACTTTAGCCTAGAGGTTGTTTAATGGTTCGATCTGTGAGTTAGCCGTACCTTGATTCTCATCAGCCGAGAGGCTGTTTCGGGTATCGATGAAAAATTTAATTTTCTGTACGTAAGTATTGTTTATTTAAGATGTATATACATATTTTATACATTTATTACACTTTCAGGGTCGATATCAATAAAGCCGTGAATAAAAACCTAGCTTATCAGTGAAGTGATAAGATATCACTTCACGGTGAACTGGAAACTGCAAGGTTTGTCATTTTATCGACCCTAAATGTGCAATAACCAAATTATGTTAAGAGATTGATATCGTTTTTATCAACGAGTTTCCATATGATATCGCAAACAAGCGAATCCAATTCTCTATGTACTTTATGTTGTTAAATTCACAGACAATAAATGACAGTTCGAGAAAATGTTACACGAGGAAAGATAAATAATAACGAGTAAATTATTTGAAGCTTACTTACCTCAGTCCACTATATGCAGCGTAGAGGTTTTCTACCCTTCTGAAAACTTTCTCCTTCCCTAATAAACAGTGCAATTAGAGTTTTCAGTCAAAAGACCGAAAATAGACCTTTCATGGGTCGTTCTCATAAGTCCACTGAAACCATGCCGGTTTTGTTTTTCTTGTCTACGTTTCCCATATGCAYGCCCAATAATTAAATCACCTATCATTATAACTTAATGAAAAAAAAGTTGAATTTATTATTCCAAAAGAGCTGGGTGTTAGGGCACCCTCAACTCCACCACCTATAGATATATTGCATCCTGATCGTTTGGGGGGAAAATCTAAAAGTTTATATTATAYACTACCTTAAAGAAAATAATAACTAAACACAACAAGTAAACTTGTCATATTTAGTTGTACAAGGTTGACTGAAATTCCAATTCACCTTTTCAGCGCTAGCTTGGATTGTGTTACGGTCACCAAAATGTTCGGACATCGTTCTCGGATTTCCATACAAATTCACTGACTTTAAAGAGAAAATTTAGGTAGATTTCTTTAGTTAGATATCTTAACAGCAGTAAGAAAAGCTTCAATCAAGCTAGAAAAATGATCATTTTCTTGTATTTAGAGAATTAACTAAACATTAACCAAGTAAATAGTTTATTAAGAGTCAGTACATTGGTACGGACTCACAATCTAAAACAATTTATACTCTGCTCCGTGACGGCTAGCGCCGAAAAGGTGAATTCATACAAATAAACATGTCTGCGAAATGAACATGTTTCTTGGTTCGCGCGCTATTAATTAATTCCTTTTCATATGTGGAATTTGCATGTCAAAAATGTTGCTGTAACATGCTTTTATCAATTATATTATCTCATCTGGTTTATTGAATAAATAAAAGTCAACTTATTCAATATGTTATCTATGTTTGACCCTAGTCTTTTTCCCCCTTGTAAGGTTGCAAAAGTCTTAACCAATAGGGTTGTTCTCGTGCATAAATGAACCTTTGAACCTCGAGGGGATGAAAGTTTTAATTCAATAAACTGATCCCGCATTCATTGTTCTACCTCCCTAGTTACTGTTGCTACGTCGGACAAGCTAAAATGTGTTTTTGATATACAGCATGGAACAGACACCGATTGATGAACATAGTAAATGTCTGTCTTAGAATCAATCCATTCTAAAGGTACATTTTAATAAATCGATAGCTACTAAAACATCGTATGAATAGGACATTCTGTATGACATTGGGACAACTTCAATTTTTCATGTTTGGGTGAACACTCACGAAAAGACGGGATCGGACTATCTTGCTCTAAATTTGTCATTCAGTTTCCAACATTTACAGTGTGAGAAAGTATTTTATTTTTAATAACACATGCTGATGCGAAACCCCTATCAGTTAGACCCGTTTTGCATCTACATCTACATCTACATTTTATTGTCAGCAGGAACTATACATTAAGTTATCACGCTAACTATGGGAAAATTAAATAAATAGATAAATAATAAAAAATAAAATATAAAATATAGAGTATATAGAATAGCCTAGATCATAGACGAGATATGCCCCCCGCCACTCCGAGTCCCACGCCCGCGCAGACAGACTTTATGGTCTGTCTTAGTGCGCATGCCCGAAACCCGGAACAACAGAGAAACATGTCCCATCCCCCAATCCAGGCCACTCCATATAGATATAAAATATAAATATGAAATTTATTAAAATAAAAATAAAAAATCATCTAATTTCTAATGAATTTTGATAGTTTCACTTTAAAAGTCTGGAGTGAATTAGCCTCCACAATATCACAGGTAAACTGTTCCATTCAACAATAGTTCTTGGAAAGTAAGAAAATTTATGTACGTCCTTATTTGTCTTAATACTTTGGTACTTGAATTTATGCGAACCTCTAGTTCTAGTTTCTTTTGCAAGTGTTAGCCTAGATTTATCAGCTTCAATAATGTCATGTGTTATCTTGAACATAGTTGTTGATCTTGCCTCCTTACGCCGGTCACACAAAGGTTCCCATCGTAGATGGTGCATCATTGAGGTGACACTTGAAGTGTATCTATAGTCTCCAACACAGAATCTTGCTGCACGTCTTTKTACGCGTTCCAATTTGTCGATGTCACATTTATAATGAGGATCCCATACGGTACATCCATACTCCAACTTTGGTCGAACCAGAGACCTATACAGGGTACACTTGACATCTCKATTACAAAACCAAAAATTTCTCTTMATTAAGTTCAGCACTAGTGTAGCTTTGGATGTAATTTCTTGAATGTGGTAGTTCCATCGTAACTTGTTGTCTAATGTGACTCGCAAGTAAGGATACACATCAACATACTTAAGAACTGATCTACAATCGATGATTACTGATGAAAATATTAACAGTTGTTCAGTAGTTATTGCAGATGAAAAGGCATCAGATTTTTAAAACGATGCATGTATGGTGTAGGGCAACAGGTTGCCCATCAGGGCTAATATACATTCTTCTTTAAAGAATACACTACTTTGATCATCGATATCTTCGTCCGTATTTACTATCGTCCTAAAACGTTTACAAATTCACTACTTTTGGAATGTTCTTTTTAAATATGATATTTTTTAAGAACAGGGAGTCAATATTTTATATGTCATGCAATACCCTGCCGTGAGCCCATTGTGCTTTTAAAATATGAGCCTAAATCTGTGATGCTATTGAATCAATATAGGCCATTTTTCTAAATGTATGTATTAATACATGTATGTATACATCTTTCGTTTCCTGCACTGACACAAGGAAGGCTGCGGATATTCGTACACATAATGAAATTAGATGACATTAGTATGCAAATGGTCTATTAGGAACCACAAAACAGGAGAGTTTGACGTTGAAGACTGATATATTATCTAATCAATAATTCAGGCAATTCTGTTCAATATCATTTTTAGTTTGTGAAAGGAACAGCTGCACCAAGTTACCGGCATGGACTCTAAATTCATTGAAACAAAACCTTCCAAAAATTGCTCTGGTTGAAGTGAGGCTTCATAATGTTTATACTTCAAAAGTCTTTAAATGTAGGAGACAACATTTTTCAAGTAATAAACCTTCTAAATTTACAATTATAAAATTCTATACCATCAAGGTTAGATCTTGAAATTTCAAGTATGATTGACAAGGAAATCTACTCCAAGTGGTTGTAGACGAAAAGATCGTTGAGCCTATTCATCACCCTATCATCAATCACTAAACATATAATTGATTGCCAATCAAAAAGACAAAAATTAAAGACAAAAATTACTTGTTATTCAATATTTTCAAAGGCTGAAAGAAATTTCCATGGAAAAGACTTAATGAATGTTATGATGATCTACAAAGTTTTATCACGAAAGGTTGTTTTCCATTTTTCCTTCATTCGTTTGACAGAATCCACTCTGAAGCGTATTTAATGCTCATGTTTCAATCAAATAGAAGCTTTTACTAAAACTTTTCAACGTTGAAAAAAAGACTTAAACATAAACATTTTCCTGTTTTCTTTGAATATCTTAAGACTCGATATTCCAAAAACTATAGTAAAAGACACGAAAGAAACTTGAGGAATTATCACCAAGCAACGGACAAGGAAATTTTATAATTTTTTACAATTGTCTAATCTGGTTTAATTGATTTTTGTCCCCGTAAATGGAACGGACAAAGAATCCTTTGGAGCTTCAGTGTCGATGTTGTTTCTTCATTTACTTGCTTGGTGCATTGATCATGTTTACGGGTACGTAAAAACCTTCATTTCTTACTTAGTCTAATTAGCTATATATATTCATGTGTGTGGGGGGGTGTGTGTGTGTGTGTGTTTGCAAAAATCCTGCAAATAAATATCAATATATCGTTATATCATTTGTATTATGGGTAATTTTCAACTTAATGAAATCGCTTTATTAAAGGCTTAAGGACCTTCATGGGTATGTTCGCTCGCATCCTCTCTATGCATGAATTTAGTGAGCGCGCGCTCATCATGATGACGTCATTCCAAACATAAAAACGTCTTTAATCTCCTATATATAGCTCTGAAACGAAGTCGGGGACCCTTTTTATTTCGTTCTTTGAAAGTACTTGGTAATACCTAACTTTAAAGGAAAWTTTTTTWAATTTGACTTTGGGATCAAATCGAAATTACATATTTTGTGCTTAATTGGAATAAAATTTTACGTAACGCGAAGGCTCCAATTCCATGCATACTYGTAATTTCCTCATGCAAAATTTTTTTTTTAATCTGACGATGGGATCTTTTGCCCATGAACGT